AAAAAAATGTTTTTGAAGACTGAATATACTTCATATTACACCACGGCAATATTTTGTTCGATTGCTCTCCACAGATTCATGGATTCTTATTCTTTCTCTGCCTAAAAAGTCATCTCCCTGAGGTTAGGAATTATGGTGTCTATTTCTTGGTATCTTTGTTCACTACAAGCAAATGCTGGTCCCACAGGCTCTCAATAAATATTTATAGGATGATTAACTAAAGATAAAATCTTACCAGCAGGTATATGTGTAAGAAAATTATTCGAGGAGGAAAAGATAGAAAAGATGATGTATCCAGGTTTCTCTGAACATTGGTGGAGTAATCTGTGCACTACACGCACCTAAAAAGCCTCAAATTAACTAATCCATAAGAAAAAGCTAATTGCACTTTAAAAAAAAGTTCTCATACACTGCCTTAAACCTTGTTCAGATCCATTTATTAATTGGAAGGCCACTGTTTTGTGTGTTGCCATGTGAAAAAGACAGTTCCGTTGCTTCAACATCATAGACCCCATACTCAAAGTCAAACAGAAAAATTTGTTTTTGATGCTGTTATTAACAGTAAGAGTCAGGAAGAATAGCCTTCATTGTCTCTGCCTGCTTATTCAAGGGCTATTTATCATTTTGATAGGTCCTTCATCCATGCCAGATATGTCACAATATCTCTTTTATTAGTCACTCACCACAAGCACCATGTAATGGGAGGGATATTACTAGCTCTATTGAGCAGCAAGAATGCCCTCATGAGACACAGAGAAATTATGTGAGGGACTTGCCTACCCTAATACAGAGAGAGTTAGAAAGTTGAACTCAAAGCTCTGGTGTCCTGCTTAGAGCCCTGGGAAAACTTAGGAAGGTCTTCCTTCAGTAAAGCTGAGAAATATTTACCACCAGCTCATCACTATATAAGCCTATGGGCCTGGCAATAATGAAAATCAACTCAATCCAACAAATATTTATTGGGTGCCTAGTAATGCTGGACACAAGATACAGGGGATACAGCAGTGAATCTGACACACCTGACCTCACTCACAGGGCTCAGAGTCCAAAGAGGAGCCTAGGACCATTGGGGTTCAGCTAGAAAGTATCAGGATGTATATATTTATTTTTATCTCAAAATAAATGTCTTTCATTTCATGTTAATGTGTTATGTATTTAATATGAATGTACTATAATTCTAATGTATTATAATATACATAATATACATTAGTACAAACTATTAAGTTAACATGCCCATGTTGGGGACAAAATCTATGCTCAATATATTTTTACAGATAGGGACGGGCAAGCAGAAACATTGGAAAACCACTGAACAGGACTATTCAGACTTTCCTGAATGCCATGCCATTTCACACTTAAGTAATTCTACTTGCTATTGTCACTGCCTACAGTGCCTCTTCTTTTCCTCATTGCACTCCTAGTAAACTCCTTCAAACACAGTTCAGCTGTCACCTGCTTGAGGAAGTCTTCACTTTCCCCATCCCCAGGCAGAGTTTGTAACTTCCATACAGAGTTTCCACCGCTCCTTGTACATCCTTCTACTGCAGATATTATTACACTGTGTTGTAATTGTCTGGCCACATTTCCATCTCTGGCCCTAGCTGGCTCGAATCTCTGGCTGTGAGCTCCTCAACTCCTTGAGGGCAGGGTTCTGAAGGTTTACAAATTGTTCTCAAGGTCTAGTACAGTGTCTGGCACATAAGAGACCCACAATTTATGTAAGAAATGTAGTCACAGCTTTGTCTTCCTAATTGCAACTGACACAGCTAATGAAACACAGTGCATCTTATTTCCTTCTTTCTCCCCCTGTGGCAGGGCAGAAGTGCTTTAGGGGCGGGGAAGGATGTTCATGGTCAAGATGTTAGTCTACAACCTCTGACCCCCAGTTAGCTATAAAACTTAGAGCTGGGAGGTGAGAACACTACACATTTTAAATTTACCAGTGAGGGTTGCCTAGTTTCAATCTTGAGTTAAAGATGGAGACTAAGCACTGCTAAAGTCAGGAAGAACAAATCAGAGATGCAGAGATATGCTATGTTCAGGTAGAACAAACAGTGTTGTGAAGATGCCTGGGGGACTTAGGCAAAGGAGCCTAGGACTGAGCTATGAGTCTCCTGTCCAGTCTCAGCTCCAAGAAGGCTACCTTGGGGGCTGCTAAGTTGCCAGAGAAAGTGTTAGTTTGGATTCCTCATAAATACTTTCAGAGTTCACATGACAAAGAAGGCATTGAAGGGAAGCCAAGATTGTCAGTTCTCATCCCTGGCTCTGGTGTCAAGTCAGATAGCCAAGCAAGAGTCACCTAAAGGGGCTAGATTGGATCATGGCTAAATTCCCTCTAGCCTAAAACAATTTCACCAGGTTGATGACATAAGGATGGTATGTTAATCAACCATGGTGTGAAGGACATTTAGAAAAACTTACATTAAGGTGTGCTATAGAGCAACTGCATTAGGTTTTTGGACATCATCAGACAACAGATATTAACTGAACACCTAGTATGCTGTACATTGGGCACTGTGCCAGGCACTGGGCATACAGGAGCAAGGAAGAAACACATGGACCCTTCCCCTCAGGGAGCATACAGTTTAGTCAACTTCACTCTCCTGGTCTCCAAATGTAAAGGTTTTTTAATGTCTAAAAACCCTGAAATTTGATGATTCAGTGTGAACTCCAAAATCACATTGCTCTCAAAATTTCTCTTCAATTTCATATACTAAAAAAAAAAAAAAATTCTACTTGAGCACATCAAAATTATAGAACTTAATTTTAGCTGTAAAAATATCCCTCATCCAATTTAAAAGATCCACATATTAAAACTTCAAATATATTTCTTTATCTTATATCTTAGAATCAGTAAAAACAACTCTGGTTGCCCTCTTTGAAGCATTAGCGTTATAAAGCTGAGTATGGGAATTGGAATCAAAATATCCTAAATATGAGCTCTGTCTCCATCATTTAGTAATTGTATGTCTATTACCACGTCACATAATCTCTCTCTAAACTGCATTTATTTTGCCACTTAGCCAATTTTTACACCATGGGTACTGTGTATCCATCTTTGTGCTGAACACTGGGGACTATTAGTGAGCAAGGGAGTATTACAGAACTTCATGTAAAGCTCCTTCCCTCTAAATTGGAAATCAAAATAATCCTTCAGGTTCCTCTTAGTTCACAGGGCTAAGGATCAATAGAATGTTAAAAATCAACAAAATGATGCATATAAAATTTCTCCCTAAAATAAAAGATGTTATTCCAAATGTGTATCACAAACACTTAAAACTAAGATCAAGGAAAGGAAAACTGTTATAGAAATAATGGGATTTCCTTATATTTTCATCTCACCCAGCAAGTTCTGTGTGATTCTAGACCAAAGCCTAACAGGATGATCTACCCCCATTTTTTCTGAAGGCATCTGAGCCATCAACTACCAGTTGCTGTGAATCCATGAGGCTGAAGTCATCATCTTTCTAACAGCATCTGTGAAAGCTAAAAATATTAATATGTTTGTGTAGCTTCTTACCTGCAATTACATAATCAGCTGACTGTAAAGTGGGAGTTTGTGTTTGAATCTAAATATTTCACAATTTCAACAGCACATTGAAGTGACAGACTAAAATATAAAAAGACTAAACAATGTTAACTAGCTAATGATAGAATTGCATAAGTATCCTTGTCCATGCATCCATCTAAAACTGCAAAGAACCGAATGAAATCAATTAAATAAAAACACTGTTTCTTCCTCCCAATGTGAATTCCAAAGCACAGAGAAGTTCAATTCCTAAAACCTCAGAGTTTTCCTATTTTCAAAGGAGGAAAGGGGAGAATGAAATTTCACTACTTGGAAACTAAAATAAATTTCACTTTCTACTCTGGACCAATCAACAAGTAATTTATTTACATTGTACCCTACTCCTAGAACAGTGGAGACATCCTTAAGAGTTACAAAAACAGAATAACATACACCATCTATATAACAAATGTAGTTAGAAGTCAGACATTTTTACATATTAGAGCTCATACAAATGTATCATAGGGGGCCGGCCCGGTGGCGCACTGCTATAGTGCGCCGCTTGGGAGTGCAGTGGCGCTCCCGCCGAGGGTTTGGATCCCACATACAGACCGGTTCCCGCTCACTGGCTGAGCGAGGTGCGGGCGTAACACCGAGGGTTGCGATCCGTTGCCGGACACGAAAAAAGACAAAAAAAAAAAAAAATGTATCATAGGGATCACAGATGGTTATTCTATAATAGGAAGAATTAGCCTTTGTTTACACTTTGCAACAGGTAATAATTTTATGTAAATATCTCTGTTCTTTTAGTAGAAAAAAAATTGGTATAAGAGACATGCATAATTTTTGTCACATAGTATTTATTTATCCCATTCCTGGTACTAATTTCTGTGTCAATTATGGTTCTTTGATTATAAGAAACAAATTATGGCTAATTTAAGCAAAGAAGGATTTTACTGAAAGGATATAGAGGCTCTTACAAATTCAAGGGAAGGCTGAAGAACCATTATCAGAAAACACAGGAACTGTATAACTCTGGAAATATGCTCAAGAGTCTCATTAGGGAATCATGAGGACTGCTGAAAGCATTTCAAATTAGATAGGTAAGAGATTTCTAGAAATGTTTAAGAACTTTTACCTGATGAAAATTGCAAGATCTTGAAATAGGTTAGCACGTTTCTCTGAACCATTCAGGGAGCACAAATTATGGTTGTCTCACCATAGATATGTGATTAAAAAATAAAAAGTTTGACAGTGCAATAGCCATTCTAATTGCCAATGCCAGAAGACTCATCTCTGATAGCAAATATTTTATTTAACTGAGATTCTTGACTAGTGATTTAAATATATACAGATTCTTGTACAGATTTGAGGCATTAACATTTATAAATGTACTTTAAATGTCTGAATGAATGCATGCATGCCTTTAGGGTCCATCTTACAGACAACTTTTCCCATTTAAAGACAATATGGGGCCGGCCCGGTGGCGCACTGCTACAGTGCACCGCTTGAGAGTGTGGCGACGCTCCCGCCAAGGGTTCGGATCCCACATACAGACTGGCCGCTCACTGGCTGAGCAAGGTGCGGGTGCAACACCGAGGGTTGTGATCCCATTGCCGGTCCCGGTCCGGTCCGGGCGCAACACTGAGGGTTGCGATCCGTTGCCGGTCACGAAAAAAGACAAAAAGGAAAAAAAAAAAAAAAGACAATATGGAAATGAATGAAAAGAGTCGGTAATTCCTTCTTTGGGCTTCAATCAGTTCCTAGATGAGATCCTGAGACCAATAGCAAGAATTAAGAGAAGTGGAAAGTCCCGTGTAAGTGATTAATGTGCAATACAGCTATTACCAGGTTTCTAAAGTAATTTCTTATCTAGTGAAGTACATCAACACAAAGAAGCAGCTGCCAAACATATGTCAAAATGAAGAAATCATTATATCGCAATATAAGAAGTTAAAGGATAATATGATTTTACACCTACAACACTACTTTGAAATCTATAGTGGCTGACAAAAGATTCACCAAAAAATATGAGAGACAATTAAGTCATCATTTCACATTTGGTTAATATAGCAACACGTGGTCTTGATATAGATTTTACCAAAAGGAATATGGGCTTTTGGCAGGAACTGTACAAAGAGCATCCATTAGTCCATAGTTGCATATCGATTATTAATGTCATCTTCTGTATCAATAAAATAGGTATTCGGCATCCATGATGAGGGGAAAATAATTAGAAAACAAGTTGTTTAAAATCTAAATGGCTAATTATTTAAGCAAAGGCTTTACCTTGATCAAAATTATCACAATGTTTCTTTGCTTGGTTTCCTATTATAAAATATGAGGCTTTTAAGGTGGAAACAATCCTAATAAACACCAAAGCTTCTCAAAATCAATTTATAAATTTGCCACATCTTCATCTCTCATTCGGAAGAATGGTGACAACTTGTAGGAGGTGTTCCTTAGTATAACCATGCACAAACTACACACATTCACACGCACACACATTTTTTTCTCTCTTAGATATACACCAAGGGTTGACAAAGATTTTTTATAAAGGGCCAGATAGTAAATAAATCCTTTTGGCTTTCATTCTCTATTGCAACTACTTAACTCTGCTGTTGTAGCACAAAAGCAGCATATGTAAATAAATGGGCATGGCAGTGTTCAAATAAAACTATTTACAAAAATAGGCAGCGGGCCAGATATGGCCCACCAGCCATAGTTTTTGCCTATCCCTGACATACATAATTGATTTTCATATGTCACTTATAATTTGTGTTTTTAACATCATGAATATATTTGTACACCCCCATTCCATAACTGAAGAAAAGGTGCTTCCTGAATGTTAACTGAGTAGTTGACCTATTTACTATTATTAATAGGAGTAACAACTAACAATGAGTGTTTCCTACAAACTAGGCCCCATGCTAAAAACATTACATGCGCTTCAAGCATGTAATTACATGTAACCTCAAGCACCCTATTTATTCTTCCCAATTTAGAGAAAAGGAAACTGAGAACTTTAAACTGATTTAATCAACAACAGAGCTCAGTTAGAGCCCCTGGATCTGCTGAGAGAGCCTATTTATTCAAAATCCATGCTGAGATTGCATGTCCCCCTCTAAAATGCTTTATCCTCTCTTCTCATGAAGTAATTCATTTCTCTCAGGACATTTGAAAATTCTATCATTCTACCCAAATATCCCCTTACATCTTATAAGATTTTTATACTTGTTCTGTCTTAAATCCAAGATTCTCTGATCCTTAGAGTTTTGTATTCTTCTAATCCTAAAATCAACACCTAAACTACGTGTCGTGTCTTATTTTCCACCAAATCACAAGGTCTGGTGTGAAAAATTCAGTTATAACAATAAAAGAATTGCCTTATTCATTCCTACAAAGGAAGTGTGAGGGTCTTAAACTAAATGGTCAGTGCTCATTTTGCTATTTAAAATTATACTTTTTGAGGACAATGAGTCAAAGGCTCTATACTGAAGAATTTATAGTAATGATCTACAATTAAGTAAAACTTTATTCTAGCTCTAAACTGAAATTGAGTGATACCTTTAATAGCTTTTAATCTACAATGTGCTAAATAATTTTTGGAATATTTTTTAATGTTTTTTGCATGAGATTCTACTGGATAATCTATTCTTCATTGTGAAACATATGCCACCTGGGGATATGCATTTTTCCTAGAATTTCACGTCACAGAAAAGCAGCAAAAAGTTTCCTTTCAGAGCCTAAAATATGGCCAACTAGACTTATATTCCAGAGCTTCTAATATTTTTAGTTAACCAACAATCCATAGTTGCATCATTGAGTAAAATGCTCAAATGTTAATCTGACACACTCATTACATACATACTCATCAGTATATTGCCTGGTATTTAGGCACACGTGGTTGTGTCAATAAATAATTATTCATACAACCAACCTAAGTTTTTATAGCTTTTCTTAATTTCTTACTTTTTAATGTATTAATGTTGATATTATTATTATGTATGTAAGTTTAATTTTTGGCCAACACAGACACAAATATTCAGAGATAAGTCAAATTTCAAAGGTCCGGGTTCCATGTCCACAATAGCTGTGGCATTCTCTGCCTCTGTCCTCCACACTTCAAAGGCTTGGGACTGAGCCCAGCTGTGTCCTCAACCTTCAAAGAGCATGGCCTTTGAAAGGAGACGTCGGAGCTGCAATCCCAGATCCCTTGTGTGACCCTGGGCAAGTTTCTTAACCTTTCTAAGATTTTGGTTTCCCATTTCTAAAATGGGACATGTGAAGTCCACTCCGGGATTAAATGATACAATTCACATAAAGTGCTTATCACACTACTTGGCATATAGTACAGGTTCAGTAAATACTGGATTTTGTTATTATTATTATTAAAGTTTATTGCAAAGGCGAAAAGAAAATCAGAATAACACAAAACCAATGAATATTTCAATAAATAACATAGTAACAAAATTTACAATTTATAATAATTTACCTATCTTAAGAGAAGGAAAATTGATTGAGTCTCAGTGTTAAGCAATTAAAGAGTCAGTGATTAAAAGATTTAACCTAGTTTACCATTTGAACTAAACTCCCTCATTTATAAATAAGGTAAAGTTTAAAGTCCTTGTTTCAAAACATCACAGTAAGTCAAAATGCACTTATAGCGTGCAAATAATTGCATGTCTCTTCTGGAGTTTAAGCAGGGAAGCTCTGGACATAAAAATGAATAAGATGCTGTATCTCACCTTGAAGAGTGCAGGGACATGCAGGATTTGTGGATGTGACCTCAGAGGCTCAGCTTGATTTGCCAGACATTGAGCTGGCTGGGACTGGGAGCCTGGCCTTTCCCCAGCAGGAGGGGCTGCAACCCAACCCAGCTTCCCATAGGACTGGTGGTCTCCTTTCCCCAGCAGGAGGGGAGCCACTGGTGTGTCCCAGCTCAGTCTCCTCAGTGCCTGAGTTCATAATACTTGTCCTCTAGAAATAAGGCCATTCAGCCATCCTCATGCTTGCACTATAGGAAGGTAGAGTAGCAGAGGGATAGGGTCCCTCCTGTGAACAGAAATATACTGCACTGAGTGTCAGGCAGCTTCAGGCTCATGCCCAACTCTTTGTAGGATAATGACAGGATGGAGGACCTCGTATCCCTTCCTACTGACCCTTTGCATTTATGGGTCCATTCCTTAATCCACATCATAAAATGTTGTGGTATTTACCTTCACCCACCTCACCACACAAGGGGGGCAAAAATGTAGAGGGTTGTAGACCCCTTGATGGCAGTCTGTACAAGGTACTGGAAGGCTCAAGGGAGAGGAGCACCCATTCTTTCAAGCCACTAGGATAAGTTTAGTATTAAGAGCTGTACTTCTTTTTAGAAGGTTTCAACTTTTGTTCACACCTCCCAATTCCTAAAGTCTGAAGGGAAAGGGTAGATAGGCCTGCAATCACCTTGACCCTTGTCCAGGTGAATTATCAAATGGGACACAGGGTTTCTTAGAGAAGAAAACATGTGCCCTAGGAGAAACACATACTTCTCTCTGATAACCTTCTACCACAGAAGGCATTTCAGGTCATGCAGATAAGATTCCCAAAGCCATGTGGCCTAATACTGCATAAATGTCCACATTCTATTGTATGCAGCTCTAAGTGACTAACTGCATTTCTCAGATTTAACCTTTAAACAAGATTGTGAATAGACCTAAGTATAGTTTTAAATAAGTGTTATCTTTGTAACACACTGTACAATAATCTCCATGAAAGCCCAACTTTCAGGACTCTCCAGGCATCTTAATTATAACTAACTGTTGCTAAGCAATATTAATAATACCATTTTCAATCACTAAGTAAAATAAATTGTCATGTTTTATTATAAGCAGGAGTTCCTTTAAGAACTTTTAGGATAAATGTAATGGTAAAATTTCCTCTCACATAAACCACCAAAAAAGTTTGCAAAGATTTTTCCAAATGTATATTAAATTCCGTAAGCATGACTGCTACAGTGATGGTACCACCCATATATTTAGAAGTTCATGAAGAAGAGATAGAGTCTTGGCCACTAAAAGTTTTCTCTGGCCAGGGCTGGAGAATCAACAGAGGAGCACTGGTAGGGTAGGGGAGTTCTGAATCTCAGGAACTTAGAAAGAGGGGATCTTCATGAAATCACTCCCCCTCCCCCAACTACTCTCTGGAGGTCTGGCTTCAACCAGGAAATCTTAGAATACAGATGGGATAGGGACAACTTGGAAGAACAGAAAATGTCCAGATAATCCCCAAATTCTCACAGATTTCAACCTCCTTCCCAAATAAACATTCTTTTAGAACTGCTGACAAATAGCCAAACCAACTTCCTCTCCTTCTCTGTGTTCCCCTTCAGGAAAAGAAATTATCTAGCAGCAAAATAACTACCCAAAACAGGAAGAGAATTGAAGAGATTCCCTTTGGTTAACTAAGCACATAAATAATCAAATTGTTTCGTCCCATGATAAACATAATGACTCAATAAATCCTGATGCATTGGAATAGTGGTTTCTAAGGAATTCCTGGCTCTAACCAGAACACCTTCACTTGAAAGACATAATTGTAAATTATAATAAAGTCCTTAGTAATCAGACTCTGCTCTTCTTGGCTTAAAGCCCTCATTAGTGCAAAGTCAGCAAATGGTGAGCATGTAGACAAATGCATTGGCTCTAAGCCCGGCTTCTTAGATTTCATGGATGCTTCTCAATGGCTTTAACTGGAGCTTCTGTCTTTTGTAGTTAACACAAGCAAAAGAAAACCCTGCTTTCTCTATCACAGCTCCTTGTCAGTACTTGAGTACAAAAGGTTTGCTGCATTTACACACGTGCCACCCATTTGGAAAAATAAAAGGCTAAACTCATGCAGTATTTATTATCTGAGAATAAAACCACTTTTATTTGGATTTATTCCTGCCAGTTATGTCTATAATAAGATCAGTACCAAATCAATGCCAAAGTTACTGTTTTAATGTCAATGCATTGGTGTATTTAGGTATAAGCTTAAATCTTATTAACAGTGGAGAAAAAAATGTCGCCTTGATAATCAAAGGCAGCTTCAATTTCCAATTTATAGAGAAGGGAAGGGAAAAACGTTGACAAAATATAATGAAACATGTGACCTGAAAGACCTTTCCTCAGCTAACTATGTTGCCTTGATAATCAAAGGCAGCTTCAATTTCCAATTTATAGAGAAGGGAAGGGAAAAATGTTGACAAAATATAATGAAACATGTGACCTGAAAGACCTTTCCTCAGCTAACTTATTTAAGTAAAAAACATTTTGCAACTTTGGCAGAAAGTCTGCATCTTCATTATTCCTTAAGTAGCTTTGCTTATACAAAGAGATAACTTTCATACAGCTGGGACTCCCTCTGGGTGGAGGTGTTTCTTGGAAAGACATCAAAACTCAATACACAAATCATCCCTCGTAACTTGAACTTGAGCCATTTGCCACTTTAGTTGTAAGTCGAGAGTTCTGTTTTACTTGTACTACTGAGCAAATCTGGAATAACAGGGACATATCCTCCAAATCAGGGAACGGTGGGGTTGGAGGTGAAGGTGTAAGCATGTGGATGATGAGAAGGTCATCATCGTGGTGAGGAAGTTCACAGGGAATATGACGTTGAAAGTAGTAAGGTCAAAAACGTAGGCCAATGTCTCCTAACCTTTCCCAGCCTGTATCTTTCTTGTGGTTTCCCTGCGGGCACCTTCTTCTCTATACGGCATTCTCCCTACCCCCAACTTTAAAGTAGTTCTCCTAAAATTTTGCCCTAATCACATCATACCCTGCTGCTATGGTTTGAATGTCCCCCCAAAACACATTGAGGCTTGGTCCCTATGAACAGTGTTAAGAGGGTAGAAAATCAGACTGTGGTATTGGAAATGTGGGTCCTTTGAGAGGTGATTGGATCGTGAGGACTCTGCCCTCATTTATAGATTAATCCATTCATGGATTTATGAGTTAATGACAAACCCTGGTTATCACTTGTGGCTTCATAAGGAGAAGAGGAGGCATGTTAGTACACTCTTGCTCAGGCCTCACCATGTGACACTCCCTGTCACCACGGGACTCTGTGGAGAGTTCCCATCAAGAAGGCCCTCACCAGATGTGCTCCTCGACCTCAGACTTCCCAGCCTCCAAAACTGTCTTACAATAAATTGTTTCTTTATAAATTACACAGTGTTCAGATATTCTAAGGAGCAGAAAACGAACCAATAAACCTGCACCAAAAAAATCTTCTCTGTTTTCTCATCACTGAGCCCAAATGACCTTTTGTGGGGAACATGGTGCTTATCTCCCTAACATTAATTGAGTCCTTCTCCACAGTACAGCAGCTACTCTGTTTGGGTGGGAATGACCCCATCTCTATCCCCAAAAAGGACCCTGATGGATCTAAGGCAGTCAGGGGAATACCACCCTCCTTGCCTCAATATTGCAGATGGCTAGGCCTAATACAACCAATGAAACACACTGCTCTGCCTTAATATCTTGAGGGTTTGTGAGTTAAGATGGTCCAAAAAGATCAAAACTCAAGACTTCTATTGGTGGTTGATGGCAAAAAAAAAAAAAAAAAAAAACCCTTCTCGTCAGCCTTGACTGGTGCTGGTAGTCACCGTACGATTACGAAAGAAGTCTTCATAAAGACAAAGCTAATGCACAGAGAAGAGTAGAATCAAGAGAACTTAAGAGAAACAGACCTGGAATTCTGATCAAACCTCACCTGAAATTTAATGTTACAAAAGCCAAGAAACCCTCTTTATTGTTTAAACTACTCTATACATTGCCCTTTTGAATTATTGCCCTTTTGAATTACTTCAATGCATAACTCCCCCCACCCCCTTGCTTAGACTGTGACTTGAAAGCAAAAACAATGGGCCCTAATTCTTGATCTTTTACAGAGCTACTTCCACAGTTGCATATACTAGTAGGAACTCCGAGGTCTGGATTCAAAACCAAAAAACCAAGCTCCCACACTTACTACCTACGTGACTTTGGGCAAATTGCTCATGCCTCAGTTTCTTCCATTTTAAAATGAAGATAATAGAATTATTATAAGGATTTAAAGAAATAATATACACATAAATGCATAGACTAGGACTTGACACTTGGTTAACACTATGATTTAGTAAATGACTGAATTATTCAAATATCCGTTTGTTCACACCCACATGAAAAATTTATGCCTGATCACTCTCCTTTACAATGATTGTCTTCTCTAACCTTTTTGTCCCAAGTTTCTCTAAAAGTTATGAGAAAGTCTTTTTACTGTACCAAATTATGCCACAGGCTTGTTAGGTGACGATAGTATTTGTTTCAAGGCAGCTGAGAGCTCGAAGCCCCACTTGTGCCCTGTTTTTCCATAACGTAAGCTGTTTACCACTTATCCTGGCTTTGTGTGTCCCTCTTTTGTCTTGGCCCCCCTGCCCTGCAGGAGTTTCTGAGGCATTCATCGTCCCTTATGCTAGAAGCCGGCTTCCTTTTCTAAGTGTGCTTCTTTGCCACAAATGCCTGATAGCATCTCCAACACTCCCCCATCATTAGATTTTGAATAATTTAGTTTTAAAGTTTCTCAGTTTTTAAATTTCTTGGATTGTATCACATTAGGAATATATAAATTTTTTGAATTATATTTCTTTTTTTTTTTTTTTTTTAAAGATGACTGGTAAGGGGATCTTAACCCTTGACTTGGTGTTGTCAGCACCACGCTCAGCCAGTGAGCGAACCGGCCATCCCCATGTGGGATCCGAACCCGGGGCCTTGGTGTTACCAGCACCGCACTCTACCGAGTGAGCCACGGGCCGGCCCTGAATTATATTTCTTGTGTATCCAGATTTTAAAATAAATTTATTATATAAACAATATATGAGACATGATATTTACATGATATGTGGTATCTGTCCTTCCCCACCCACGCACCCTCATAACTCCCCCTCCTCGGAGGTA